TTGTTTGTCTATTACTATTTGTTACCATTTTCTATGTAACTTTTTTTTTATAAATATGTAAATCTCGAAAACCATAATCCCGACTGTATCAGAATCTCAACAACCATAATCCCAACAATAACAAAATCCCGTCTATATCGAAAATTTGTACAATAACATTTTTAAATTATTTCGGAGCTTATGTTATTGAAGACATTATCGATATAGTCGGGATTTTGATACAGTCGGCAATTTGATTGACGGTATTTTGGTTGTCGGGCTTGCGATTACCACCAGTTCAATTTGACTCTAAACATGAACAAAAACTATCACAATTCAACATTTTAGTACTTTGTTGTATGTATAAAAATTATAAATCTAGTGCTCGTGAAATAAATAATATAAAATAAACCATTTCATGCACCAACTGAAACATTACTGTAATTAGAACGTCTGTTCGTTAAATCTATTTTTAAAACTACAAAAGCAACAACGAAAATAAAATAGAAATAAACATCTTGGCTCATTATAATGGCGAATTGAATTGGTGTTGTTCTTATTTAAATAAAGGTTCATGCATGCTTGGTTTATTCTCTCTTCCTCTGTGATTTGTAATTCATGCTCCATATTATTTCATTGTTATAATTGAATGATTATAATATGTGTAACTAATGTTGAATGAAAAGGTGGTTGGGGTTGTTGAAATGTGAAGATAATAATTCATCTATACTCTCAATTATTGTTCAAAGACAATATATTTGAATATTAAATCACCTATATTACTAGTATTATCTAATTTAAAGATTAATCAAGCAATTCAGTAAATGAATGCATAAATTGAAGATAATTAGCTTCGTATTTGGCTGAAATCTTATTTTATAGAAATTATTTTCAAGTAATATTGAAGTAAAATGTTTAAACAGCCCTGTTTTCGTTCCTGGTAGTCTAGAACAGTGGTCGGCAAATTTATTAGCCAAAGAGCAAAATATGAACATTACAACAATTGTGAGCTAAATCTGCTTGTTTAGTAAACTTTTATTACACTAAATAAAACTAAATTTCATCTTACATTTTTTTAATAATAATAATAATAATTTATTGGCCAAACATTAATACATAAGAAGAAGAAAAAAAAGTACAATTTATACATAAATAAATTTTAACATATAATAAAAAGGGCATTTTTTTATTAATGCGAACAATGTGCTTGCATCTCTTTGGAAAGTTTGAGTAAGTCAGATTTGTATGTTGTTGTTTTTAATTTTGGGCATGATTCCAAGTTCTCATCAATAAGACGACTTCTCAGTTTACTCTTGATTATGTTCATATATGTAGAACCGAAAAGGGAAAGAACAGCAAACGCGAGCTTTTTCAGCTGATCGTAAGAGTCAGGAATACTACTATTCCAAGCGTTGAAAATGATCATGTCTTCCTTCCCCAGGTCACATTCAAAGCAGACCACTTGTGTTGTGAACTAAGATCACATTTTTTCTCCAATATTTCCAATTCAACACAAAGACGTTCGAATTTAGAGCGCCATATCTCCTTGTCTTTTAAATCTAGCAAATGTATTTCAATGTCAATTTCAAAAGGGAGAAAATCAATCAAAAGAAGGATTTTTGACAAATGCTAAAGTTGTTCTGCTGTTTTTATTTGTGCCAGAGCCGCACTTAAGGAGCCAAAGAGCCACATGCGGCTCTGGAGCCGCACTTTGCCGACCATTGGTCTAGGACAGCATTCATTAACCTTTTAAGACAGGTTGACGGTTAATATAGAATTAAAAACCAATTTGTTATAGAATTTTTTGTGTAAAATTTGAGCTAAATCATGGAGTTGCAGATTGATAGGAGAGGACCACAGGTTGAAGAACGCTGGTCTAGAATTATTTTAGTCCTTATAATATATTACTAGGTAGTTCAGGTAGTTGCTTCAAAGTGGTTTACATGCTGAAATTTTAATTCAGAGCACTGAAAGTGAAAACCTTTTTCGTAGTAAATTATTACAATAGTTTAGGGTCTATATCGCAAGCCCTTCTACCGAAAGTCTATTGAAATCCCGACTACCATAATCCAGATAATCAAAATCCCGACTATATCGAAATCCCGACTACTATAAAAATGTTGTTGTAGAAATTTATAATAATAAAAGACAGTCGGGATTTCGATATAGTCGGGATTTTGAGCCAGCCGGAATTTTGATTGCCACCGATAGTTTACTATATATTACTTGGGTATTTTCACCAATAGATGGCTACAGAATATCTTCATGTCTTCCTTCCCCAGGTCATTCAATGCAGACTGAAGCAAACCACTTGTGTTGTGAACTAAGATCACATTTTTTCTTCTCAAATATTTCCAATTCGACACAAAGACGTTCCTTGTTTTTTAAATCCAGCAAATGTATTTCAAAGCTACCAATGTCAATTGCAAAAGAAGAACATTTCAACTTAAGAGGATTTTTGACAAATGCTAAAGTTGCTCTGCTGATTTTATTTGTGCCAGAGCCGCACTTAAGGAGCCAAAGAGCCACATGCGGCTCTGGGGCCGCACTTTGCCGACCATTTTTCTAGGACAGCATTCATTAACCTTTTAGGACCGGTTGACGGTTAATATAGAAATAAAAACCAATATGTTATAGAATGTTTTGTGTAAAATTTGAGGTAAATCATGTAGTTGTAGATTGATAGGAGAGGACCACAGGTTGAAGAACGCTGGTCTAGAATTAGTTCAGATAGTTGCAGATAGAAGTAGTTCAGGTAGTTGCTTCAAAGTGGTTTACATGCTGAAATTTTAATTCAGAGCACTGAAGGTGAAAACCTTTTTCGTAGTAAATTATTACAATAGTTTAGGGTCTATATCGCAAGCCCGACAACCGAAAGACCGTCTATATCAAAATCTCGACAACCATAATCCCGACTATATCAGAATCTCGACAAACATAATCCCGATTACATCAAAATCCCGACTACCAAAAAAATGTTATTGTAAAAATTTATAATAATAAAAGACACTGTCGGGATTTCGAACGTCGGGTTTTTGAGCCAGCCGGGATTTTGATTGCTACCGATAGTTTACTATATAATACTTGTGTATTTTCACCAATAGATGGCTACAGAATATCCACCTGGCGGTGGACATTCGTACTTCTAGTCATAACAGTATTTTCAGTATTTGTATCCTGAAAAAACATATTCAGTCATTCATTCAGAACCTGTCGTCTGTGTCTCTGACATTATATCTGTCAAAGTCATTGTTTTTGTTTACGGGTCACGAAATCCGGAATCATTGCGTGCAACAAAGAAATAAAAAAACCCAGGATGACTACGAGCATCATGCTGGGTATCAGACTCATCAAAAACCAATATGAGAGGATACAATTGGATAACATCGATTTGGAAGGAAAGGTGGTGAATCTGAGGCAGCTGACCAGCGAGAAGATCAATAGGGAAGCACATGAATTTGGTAAGTAACAAAAAAGAAAAAATAATATTTGACTGTGTATGTTAATTCTGTATTTTTTCTAGAACTAATCTATTGTGGAATGATGCTCGATGACAATGCAATTTTATCTTCGTATGGTGTCACAACCAACACTACTATCCACGTTCTATCAAGGAAGAAGTATCCATCAGCCAAACCGATAAAGCAGTTGCCTGTGTCTGCAATCAAGAAATTTGCTTATTGTGTCGAGGAGGCTGGGTATCGTGCCATTTTACAGGTACTGTTTTTTTGTTGTTGTTGTTAAATGTTTGTTTCTTTATACTGAAGTTTTGATGTTTAGAGGGTGGCCAAAGCAGAGGTTGTTAAGAAACTCTTGAAAACTTGCCCGGAATTGGAGGAGGATCAAGGGGCAATAGCGTTTCTGCTGGATCATAAGCTTTTGAGTTTGATGAGCAACGTGGAGACTCTGAACGGCATATTGCAAATGCACCCGGTGTTTAATAAAGTTATACCGGAGCTGCTCATTCACATAATGGAGGAATCGCGTTCGCACGCGACTCCCAGCAGCACGGCAAGCGATTACGCTTTGGAAACGTTGACGGATGATGATGATATGGATTCGGAGAGTACCGAAGGTAATCCTTTGAGTAGGAACTCTTCAGCCAATGCTATAACAGCCGCACAATTGGCTGCTGCGATTGCTAATGCTACCACCAGTTTTTCATCGACTGGCGGTGCTGGTGGTTCATCTTCCGCTGCTGCTGCTGCTCCTGCTTCCGGCACTGCGAATGCATCCACGACACCGGATGGTTCGAGGAATTTGATCACCAGCGAGATGTTCGGTAACGCTCTCGCCAATGCACTAGGGCCGAGCAGCAATCCCGGGAATTCGAGCGTCAATCCTGGGAATGCGAGCGTCAATCCAGGCATCGCGAGCGTCAATCCTGGCAGTTCCAGCAGGTCTCCTGACGGCGAGGAGAGCTTCGAGAACATCAGGACTAGATTGCGTCCGCAGCTGAATCAGATGCAGGAGATGGGATTGGTGAACGAAAGCCAGAACATTCGAGCGTTGCAGGCGACGAATGCCGATCTGCAGGCTGCCATAGAATTGGTATTCAACGGCGTCATCGACTGAGTCCATTTATCATTATTATCGCTGCTTTCACATGTATATTGACATATGTATAGTGATTGCAGCAAAACTTTATAGATTTTAAAAAGAAAAATATTTTATATTTATTTCATTGTGCTATTCGAATAAATACATTTATCAAAAAAAAAACAAACTTTCTTAATTCTCACATAACCCAATGATTACCTTAGATTAGTATAGAACAGATTATAATACTCAAATCGTTAAAAATCTTTCACATAATTCTAAATAATAAGTTTAAATTCTCTAAATTTTAGAGAATTATAATTTTTTACTTTATTTGTGTAAAATTTTGAAAACTAAGATACTTTCAATAAATGAAACTTTTTAATGACAGTCAAATCTCTGGACTGTCTTTAATCCATTCAGAATGCAAGTCAGACGCGTGCATTTCCTGTTCCATTCCTTGTTTGCGAAGTTCTTAATTAAGGAGCGCAGTACGTCTACCAACGTTTGTAACATGATGCGACCAGCACCGAAATAATTATCTCAAATTAATTAACGCAAATTTGGATATGGTCCTTTTGAATAATTACAGATAATATACATCGGAAGTTCATATACCTTTCGCCTCAATTAAATGGAGCTATAGCAGAGCGCAGATAACATCGAGAAACTTTCGAAACAAGTTTATATCTGAAAGTAAACTTACGCAGTGTTTGTTCTCTGTTCATTTATAAAAGCTTTCCTGTATTTACCTTTAAATCTTTGCAGATTTTGTAAAACAACTTTATTATGCTTGTAATGAAAATATAACAAAGTAATATTAATCTTTACAATTGTAATTTGAATTTAAAACTTTTTCGAACGTTCTAATTTCAGTATTACAGCAATATGGATAAGAGCATAGCAATGTATCTATACTTGCTGGATTCTCCAAACATTCAGTTTTCATATGCATCTATTGGATTAATTCTATCTA